AGGTTATACTGTTATACTGCTTGTTATATTCAGGTTCTAAAAGCCATACTATAAAAAAATGCAGCGTTCTCATATTTATGGCCATGACTTTATATTTATTGATGTTTCGAATTATTTTTCATTTTTTAATGACAACTATTTTATGATCATTGACAAATATGAGTTAAAAGGTTTTATTTACAGGTGTTAATTAATTCGGGAAATAAAACTTTGCTAACAATTTTAGCAAAGCTTTATTTCCAAAATTATTTGACACAAGTAAATAAAATCTTTTATTTGACGTGTTAGTGCGAGTTTCGACGTAATAGTGCACTTGTCGCCGACATTTTAAAATAAACTATAGTTTATTTGAAAATTTTATTTAAAATAATAATATAAAATAGTTATCTTATCAGTCAATATAGTATAGTCAATATAGTCAATATAGTATATAAAAATTAAATAACCAATAGACATAATGTTAGTAACATTATGTCTATTGTAAAGTTATTTAATTTTTCTTTGTCTCACAGTCACTAGTTTTTTTTTTTATTATTTATTTAATTTGCCGTTGATAAATATTACAAAAAAGAAATTACAATAAAAGAAAATCCTGGCCGGAGCAAGAAGAAGACAGGTTGTCTTATCACCGAGCCGCTTCACACAAAAGTTTACATGCACAATAAATGATAAAAGACAAAAAAACAGTATAAATATAAAAACAAAAACAAATCAAAAACTTCAGCAATAAAATAATTTGTTGCTAACAATCTTCCAGCAGAATAATTAAAAAAAAAAAAAGTAAAAACGACAATAAGTCATGAATGTTATAAAAACACACAAAAAAATGTGTTGTTTAATTGAAAAAAAAAAAGAAAAAAAAAAGCAATATATGTAAACATAAGTATTTTGGCTGATTATTTAATATCATCAAAATATGAACGAAAAAGACAATTTTATTTTCGTTATCTTTTATACTAATGGTTTGAAACCATTTTAATAAAAGCTAAAGAAAGTGTTAAAGATTTAATTTATTTTTAAGTGATTCAGTTTAAACCTTTAAATTGTTTTCAAAAAAGGTATTTGAAATCTAATATATCGAATTCCATGTTCAGTAAATGCCGTTTTGAATCACCCTTAAAACTTTGCAAAGTGCAGTTTAAAACGAAGTTTTGTTTTTTACTAAAGATTGGAAGAAATTCTTTCCAAACTAAAGGTCCCCGATATTGAATTTGGTACGAACTTAATTTAAGAAAGTTTATGGGAACCACAAAGTTATTCACTGAAAATTTGGTTGGATATTTATGGGAGATTTCATTAAAGTAGGATTGAAATGTTACTGGAGAAAACCCAAGTTTTGCTTTAAACATAAATATCATTACTTGATGAATATTAAGCTTATAAATATTTAAAGCTCCAAGCTGACCTAAGAGAGGTTCGCATTGTGTTTTTCTATTTGCCCCAAATACTATCCTGCAAGCATATTTTTGTTTACTATAAATTTTTTTGAGTTTAGTGTGATTAGTGCTACCCCAGGAAATGTTACAGTATGAAAGATAGCTGTGTATAAACGAAAAGTATAAATTTTTTAAAGACTCGTTATTAAGAAAAGGTTTCGTTCGGTATAACATGGCAATATTTTTTGAGATCTTACCTTCAATATATTTAATATGAAATTTCCATGACAATTTTTCATCTAAGAGCACTCCCAGAAAGTTTGTAGTCAATTCCCTTTTAATTATTTTATTATTGATTAAAAGATTGGGTAGTTTAAGAGGAATATTCTCGGCTTTACTAGGTTTATGGAATAGGATAAATTTTGTTTTCTCTGCATTTAATGATAGTCGGTTACTTATAAACCACTCGTTGATCTTGTCTAATTCTTCGTTAAATATTTTTAAAAGAACAGAAATATCTTTGTGAGAATAAAACAAATTAGTGTCATCTGCAAATAAGATAGTATTTAATACTTTTGATGATAAATATAAATCATTTATATAAAGTAAGAACAATAATGGTCCCAAAATAGAACCTTGGGGTACTCTACAAGTTATTAAGTTATTTTTTGAGTCTTTTGATTCTTTAAGTATAAATTGCTTTCTGTTAGTTAGGTATGATTTAAACCAAAGTAAACTTTGATTTTTAACACCATAGTGTTCTAATTTTTTCAAAAGAATTTCATGATTTACTGTGTCGAAAGCTTTGGATAAATCAATAAAAACCTCTATTGTATAGCAATCACTATTAAATCCATTTGATATATGCTTAACTAATTCAACTATTGCATGGTCAGTAAAATGATTTTTTTTAAAACCGTATTGATTATTATATAAAATCTTATTTTCAGATAGATATTTATAAAGTCTGTTGTACATAATGCGTTCAATTAGTTTAGAAAAGCAGGGTAAGACTAAGATTGGTCTGTAGTTTGAAATATTGGTCTCATCGCCAGATTTGAAAATAGGTGTTATTTCTGCAATTTTTAGTTTATCTGGAATATGACCTGATTTAAGGGAGAGATTAAAAGTATGGATAATGAGGGTTCGATAATATCAAAAACAGATTTAATTACATTAACATTAATTTGATCAATACCTGCACTTTTTTTCAGACTATTAAAAGCAGTATGTAGTTCACTTTTGGTTAAAATTGGTTCTTCCATAATTAAATCAGTTGTTGCAAGATATGAATCAAATTTTTTTTGACCAACTGGAATTTTCGCTGCTAGGTTTGGGCCAACATCAAGAAAAAAATTGTTTAATTTCTCAATAATAAATTCTTTATGATAAATCATTTTTCCCTCAATAATAAGTTTTTGCGGTAAGTTATTTTTTTCAATTTCATTTTTTCCAATTAAGTCTCTAATAACACTCCACGTTTTTTGAGGGTTTCCTTTGTTTTTTCAAGCAGTTTAGCATAGTAATTTACTTTTGATTGTTTTTTGGTTTTTTCAAATAAATTTTTATAATTTTTGCAATTAGTTTCATTTTTATAAGTTTTATTTTTTAAATATTTATCATACAATTTTTGTTTTTTCCTTGATGATTTTAGTAGGCCTTTGGTCATCCATGGGGATACAACCGACTTTGAGTTTATTAGTTTTACTTTTAAAGGAAATGCCTTATCATACATTTTAGAAAATTGGTTTAGAAATAAATCATAAGCATTATTTACATCGTGTGATTGCAGTACAAGATTCCAATCAAGTTTGTTTATAAACGCCGGCGATAAGTGCACTAATACGCCGACGAAATTTAAAAATATTATTTCATTAATTATTTATAGACTAGGGTTTAGCGAAAGTTTTTTAAAATTTGCTTTATTGGAATCGAACTGTTGTATAGCAAAATGCGTATTTTGCTATAATTTGATTCTTTGTTTAGGTTGAATTGTTTTTAATTGATTCTCTTAAGTTCTGATAATTTAAATTGTAAGTTATAACAAAGATCAAATGAGAAAAAGCAGGGCATTCGCTGTGAATAAAAAGTCTTAGTTTAAACCTCCGGCACCGATAAACCTCCGTTACGTGAAAAGAAAAAAAAGAAAAGAAATTTTTTGGTACTTTAGATATATACATGTTGCTGTAAAGAAAAATTTGTAGAAGTCTATGAAGACTTATAATTAAGTACCTCTTTAAATTGTTAAATAAAGTCTATTTCATTTTTATATATACTCAAACGTGATTAAACAATATACAGTCATATTAGTCAATACACATATATATTTTAGTATAGATTTTAATGTTAAGTTTAATACATGTCGATATAGTTGTTGATATTAAGTATGAAGTTTTTTAATTTATTTTTCAAGTTGGCAGCATTATTTAATACTTTAAGTTCTTTATTTTTGGATATGATTTTGTTATATAGGTACGAACCCGGTAGGAAATAGAAAACCGTAAGAACTTTGTTATTCTTTTGGGCAGTGTGAAGTTGTCTGTTGCTCTTGTTATATATTTATTAGAGTTTACTTGAAAGAAGTAATCTTTCAAGCAAACTCTAATCTAAAAAATGCGATGGAACTAGTCCAAGTTTGTATTTGAACATAAATAGTACATTTTAGCAGATGTTGATTTGGTAAACATTTAGTGCATTCAAGATTTTTTAGTAAGGGTTCAGCGTGGGTGAGTTTATCTTTATTATAAACTAATCTTGATGCATGTTTTTGACTTATGTAAATAGTACTCAATTTGGATTTGTGTGTACTTGCCCATGTAATATTAGCGTACGTAAGATAACTTTGGATGTAAGAAAAATAAAGCGATTTAAGATTATGTTGGGATAACATAGGCTTAACTTTTTAGAGTATCCCAATATTTTCTGAAATTTTGGTGTTTGTTGTACTTATATGGGCTCTCCAAGATATACTTTTGTCAATTAGTCTCAATTGCATTTTTTGGTCTTCGAGCTAACTTCCAGACATGGAGCAAACTCCAAACATTTATATGTTTATACTTATAAACTTATATTCATTGATAAACTTTAAGTTTCATAGTAAAATATTTTAGCGTTCAAAATTTATGACCATATAAAGTTTAAACCCCCCTCAATTTGAGGGGTTGCAGATTTTATATGGACATTCTTTTTGAACGCTGAGAGATATTAATATGCAACTTAAAATTTATCGATGAATATAAGTCTAGTATATAAATACAATCTACATATAAATGTTTGGAGTTTATTTTAGCAATAATTATATTATTGCTAAAATAAACTCCAATTCGTTAATAATTTATTTTTAATTTATAAAAAAATATATAAATTATAAATAAATTATTAAATAATTTATACATTTTTTTTGTAATGTACATTTAAATTGTTTAAAAGGGCTTAGGCCCTCTCAATTTCAGAAGTTGCTCCATTCGTAACCCTTATAAATTTTTTCCGATTTTATAAACAATTTGTTTTTATTTTTATAAAGAATTACAAAAAAAATTGTATCATGCATCTAAAATGGTTACATAGGATAAGAACCCCCTCAATTTTACCCTTTTGCCCCAATTATGACTCATAGCACTGATATCACTCAAAACTTTGAAATTATTTATAACAGAAATTGTAAATCTTTATAAAGGTAAAGAAACAGACTAATCATAAAAAAGCAAACATTATTGCACACGTGTCTGAATGACTAACTAATATTATGTCTTTAGCCACTTACGCCACCTACTCTTATTTCAAATAATATAAGTTTCAGTAGCATACAAAAAAAAATTCTTTTTAGTAATACCATAAGGTTGCATATTTTTTAATGAAGTAGAAGAGTAAACAGTGCTGGTTCACTGGATTTCGATGTTTATTGGATTTCGACGTTCACTATATAATAGGATAACATTGTGGCGAAAAAAAAGCTGTTAAAACTATTAACTTATTTCTTCGACTGCAACTCCAGCTTCTCTGATAATGATCTTTTGCTTATAAGCCTCTCCCACCAAGATCTCTGTTTTTGAAACGCTACTTGGTTATCTACAATAATACAAACAAGGAGATATATAAATAAAATAAAATATATAATTACAAATATAACCTATCAATTATAAAAAATGCAATAACTACAATACAAAAATCAAATGAATTTTTGTATTGTAGTTTTGCAAAGCCAATTAAATAAAATATATACAATAATTACCCAACACCACATAAAAACTAAAGTCTTTTCATTAGCACTTTTTAAAAGGAAAATAAAGAATGAAATGAATAGTATATGAAAAGTAATTCTTTGATTTAGACTACTCAGCGTAGTTAAGGAGAGATCCGAACGATTTGCATTTCTTAAAAAAAAAAATTTACATATTTAAACTTCAATTTTTTGTGTTTACCGCTTATTTACAACTATTACTGTTATATATTTTTATTTACGACTATTACTTTTATATATTTTAATTTACGACTATTACTGTTATATATTTTTAAAAAGTAGAATTAGAGTAGAGCTTTTCTTATGTTATTATATATTTTATTATTTTTTTATAAATCTTTATTTTACCAAATTACCAAAGTATCAAGCAAAACAAAACTACCACTAAAATACATAAAGCGCAACGGGGCAGCGTCATAAAAATAGCTGACGTCATAAAAATGAAACAAATGTGTTAAATATTTACATTCTAAAAATCTTTTATTCAAAAGTAAAAAGTTGTTTTCAGTATTAAAAGATTCAACAAATGACTAAAAACAACTTATTTTATCATTCCGTAACCAGTAAAAACGTTAAAATCGAAGTTTTCACATCAGTTTTCACTCATAACAATTTAATTCCATTATCTCTCTATAGTCGTTTGAATAAATTATTAAACAAAAACGTTTCAGCTTCCATATAACTTCTGCCCCATAGTATTAAAACTTCAAACTCGTAGATAATAAAATCACCGAATATTTGTAAACAAAATAAAACAACGAGCTTCGTTATAAAAAAAAATAATTAATCAAAACGCACACAAAATAAAAAGGCATTCTTTAAAAACGAAAGAGCCTAAACGCTATATTTTTCTTCGAATCTCTCCTTAACTACACTGGGTAGTTGTTTTTAATTTTGTTAAAAAGTGTTCATAGTTTAACATAAATATTTTCTTCTAAACACCATGACCTGAAAGTCTTTTAGGTTTAAAAAACCATAACAAACAAAGCGTTATTAAAATCTGTGACATATACAAAGTAGGTAGAGGTAGAGTAGGTAGAAGTAAAAGTAGAAGTAGAGTAGGTAGAAGTAAAGGTAGAGGTAGAGGAGGTAGAAGTAAAGGTAGAAGTAGAGTAGGTAGAAGTAAAGGTAGAGGTAGAGGAGGTAGAAGTAAAGGTAGAGGTAGAGGAGGTAGAAGTAAAGGTAGAAGTAGAGTAGGTAGAAGTAAAGGTAGAGGTAGAGGAGGTAGAAGTAAAGGTAGAGGTAGAGGAGGTAGAAGTAAAGGTAGAAGTAGAGTAGGTAGAAGTAAAGGTAGAGGTAGAGGAGGTAGAAGTAAAGGTAGAGGTAGAGGAGGTAGAAGTAAAGGTAGAGGTAGAGGAGGTAGAAGTAAAGGTAGAGGTAGAGGAGGTAGAAGTAAAGGTAGAGGTAGAGGAGGTAGAAGTAAAGGTAAAGGTAGAGTAGGTAAGTAAAGGTAAAGGTAGAGGTAGAGGAGGTAGAGTAAAGGTAAAGGTAGAGTAGGTAAGTAAAGGTAAAGGTAGAGGTAGAGGAGGTAGGTAGTCTGTAAAGTTAAGATTTATTTTAAATGTTTACATATTATAGGAAAAGCAAATTCGTTCAAACTTTTTGATACAATTGCTTACAGTTTAGTGTAATGGATCATTAGTAAGTGAACAGAGTTGATATTTGACCGGGGCCAGCTTTGATAAAATACAGCCAAGGCTGGGTTTGTGACCAGGGCTGCATAAACATTTATACATACTAAAGTGTTTTTTTTATTCAAAATTCATGTTATATTTTGTATATATAGGCATAAATATACATCATTATGATCAATATGATCATCACAGCCATCATTATTATCATGATAATGATGATGATAATCATTATCATCATCAACATAATCATCATCGTCAACAGCATAAAAGAGAAAGGCTAAAGGCTGATGATATGTAAGGCATTTCTTCAAATGCGACCTATCTACATGCTGATACCTAAGCTACATTAATCTTTTCTAACAAACGTTGTTCGATACAAAGTTTTTTCTAATCTGTCTAAGATTATGCCTCTTTGTCTTGTCTTGTTAGAGTCACACCACACATCCATTTGATCATCTTCTCTTTTGGCAAATAATACACCATATAAATACTAAAGTTTATATAACAATGAATGGATATTGTGTGCCAGCTAAATACTTAGCAAACATATATGTTTATATCCATAATATGTATGGATTAGGTGCATCTTGGAAGCTTTTATTCCTTCTGGAATAAAAGTTTGGAAGCTTTTATTATTTCTCTTCAATTTTAAGTCAAGCCTCATTATACTCTACATTTTTTAACATTAATCATTTTTTTTACATTAATCATTTCTTTTTTACAAGAACATCTCTCTTAAAAACAAATATCCTTTTTACTATTGCAATAAGCCAATGTAAAAAAGTCCTGTCTGATGGGTCTGATCTTTTTCTCCTCAGAATAAAGCAGAGTTATTTGAAAAGAAATCTTACTCTAATTTGACTGTTGAATCTAATGGTCATACTCTTCCTGACAATTAAACAGATTGACCCATTATTAAACATCAAAATCATTATGGCTTCCAACTCTAAAAATAATTCTCAATTAAACACTTCTACAGCGCTTCAGAAAAGATTTCCATCATAGTCTTAAAGAAGTGTTCTCCAGAACTCTCTGCAATTTTTGCTAAACTTTTAAAAACTGCTAAATAAGTGTTTCCAATTTTTTAAAACTCTAGAAAACACTTTGACCTCTCCAACTATCCTATGATTAGTCTTCAGCCTGTTATTAGTTTCTATATATAAAGGTTTTGAGGTTATTTCATTCTAACTGCAGCATTTAATTATTTCATTCTAACTGCAGCAGTAAAGTTATTCTTGAAGGTTTACCCTCTTCTTTATTTCAAATAACTTTAATGGTACCACATAGTTCTACCTTTGCTTCTGTATTATTTTTTATCTACAATACTACAATCTTCATGAAATCTAAAGTGGCTCTATTTGCTGACGACTCAACTTTATACTCTTGGCTTGAAAATATCTTAACTTTTTAATTGCTTAAAACAAGCAGCTGATAATAAATCTGATCTCTCTTCTTCACTGCAAGCCAAAGGCTTGCAGTGGCTTATGGGTTTAAATTCTAGACTTAAAATCCAGAATTCAATTTTTTTCCTTGAACATCGAAAAAACCTTATAACTCTTACCCATCTTCATGTTTTCCTTTTTTATACAACTTACAACTTTTAAAGTTGTAAGTTGTATAAAAAAGTTATTCATTTCCTAGTATTTTAACTTATTCTCTATTTTAAAGTAACTCAAAACCTAATAGTGGTTCCTTGTAATCTTTTTGGAAGTAAACTAGAGTTTAAAATTTTATAAATGTATGCCAGTATTTAATAAATAGTAAATGTAAGCATAAAATTATAATATATTAAGTATTATAAATTTTTTTTAGCCTTGGCTATCAACCCCTGCTAAATCTTATAATTTTGCCGGGGCTGGGTTTGCAAAAAATCTCATTTCTAGCCAGGGCCGGGGCCATGGCCCCGGTCACTTACTAGTGATCATATCACGCTAAAAAAGTCACTCATCATGTCACAATAAAAACTCCACTAATCATGTCAACTAAAACGTTACTAAAGAAAAAAAAAAATTCCAATATGGTATTTCAATCTTTTTGTTAAACTCAATCAAATTGGCGTTTTGCACGTGAGCTAAGTTCCAGTATTTGTGTGTTGAATCGCCTTGTTTTAAAATCAAGAATACAATCTTTTATGGTTGACGATCGCTTAAATTGTCTTGCCCTTATGTACATTTACCCAGAAATTAATATTGACCCAGACGTGGTTAACAATGATTTTGACTTGAGCACACGTATATTGGATTTTGTGTTATAAAAAAGTGCCCTGTGTTTATGAACCTGCAGTCAAATGGTGTTTATAAGCTTGTTTTTGAACCAAATGTAGTCTACTGTGTTTATGAACTTGTAGACTGGTGTTTATTAATTTGTAATAAATTGATATTAATAAACTCATTTTATAATAATTTATATGCCTGTCTCACACAATTTTTTTTGGGAGATCCCATCCCAAACCATCTCCTCAGTAAACCTCCAAGCATTACCCCCTACCACTAAATCCTGGATCCGCCGCTGAGTATTTTGGTTCAAAAAATATTGTTTTAGATGAACTTTGCATTTTACTCTTAGAGAGCCTAAATTCACCTAATAAAAAAAAAAAATCCATATAATTCACTTAAGTAATGTTACCATTTGACAATGCTTCTTGACATTTTGTAACTTCTAATCCAGTATAATTTATTTCATTAACACGAGGATACTAAAATGAAATTGAATATATATATATAAAATGTAAAAACAAATTTAAAAAAAATGTAATCAACTAAAATAATAAATATAAAGTACTATCTTTTTATATATTCCATTATTATCTACAATTAGTGAAATAATTACAAATAGCAAGTTATATACCAAATTGTGTTTCTAAGTACACTAAAAAATCTCTTCTGATGCAAATTTTTTTTCTTTTTTTTTAAAGCATGAAATTATGCAACTGCTTTTAAATGTTATTCAAAAAAGCCTCTTAAATCCTACTTATGAGAAAATTTGTTTTCATCTAATTAGTTTTGAAACTTATAGCAACTAGTTTTTAGATTTTTAACATAATTTCTAATTGTCACCTGTAAAAAACTTTTACGGGTAAAAACTAAAATAGTAAAAACAATATAAGAGTCACTTACATTTTAAGAGTAAATTACAATTAGTACCATTAATGTTCTAACTTAAGCTAGTAAGTTTAACATTGATGTATTTGAAATCAGTTATAGAGTTCTGATTTATCTTTTCATTTTTATTTAAGTATCTATTCTCACTACTATATTAAAAACAAATCATTGCAACTCCAGTGATTTATGTACAAAACTCCTCCATGATTGTAAACATGAAATCACAATTATGACACAATTATGACAGTAACAGTAGCTCAGATTCTTAAACAATTTTCTTTAACATTAATCTAAACTAAAATTTTCTTACATTAAAGAAGTAACTTCCATAGGAAACTTTATATTTGAACTTTCCTATAGGAAACATTACATTTGAACTTTTTTTTTTTTTAAACATCTTTGCTTCCAACAAGGCTGCAAACAACTTCTAATTAGAGTTGGAAGTTACTGGAAGAGAAAAGATGAAGATTGTAGAGCAAGATAACGATTCACAGACGACTTAAAAGATTGCAAGTTATATGAATCAGGAAAGCAAGATAAAGAAAGCGAATTCCAAAGAACTGATGTTTGAGAAAAAAACTAGAGGAATAAGAGTTTTTAGAGCACTTAAGTCACAGAAAAAGAATGATGCTTAATTGAATGACAAGTAACATGAGAATTTTAGTAGATGAATTTTTTTTAATGAATTTTAGTAGATGGCATAAGAAACGCTAACTCTTTAGAGCAGTGCCCATTATAGTAGAAAATATAAAAGAAAAGAAAAAGTAGAAAAGAGAAAAAGAAGCAACGTTACGAGGATGTGATAACTTTCCTATAGGAAACATTACATTTGAATGAATTTAATGTAAAGAGGCATTAAATAACTAAGCATCCTACACTTCACTCACTGACAGGACAAATAAGAAAAGAAAAAATCTAGATGCTTACTGCAAATTTGAAAAAACAGTTTGCCAACGTTTTTCAATCAAAGAACACAACTTAATGTTTTGAAAGTTTTATAGTCAGTTTAAAATAAGCAAAAAAAAGTTAAAACCATTTGCCAAAGGAGAATTTATCAAGGGTTATCAAGTCTGTTAGAAGTTTGCAGTGTTTTTTGATCTGAAAAGAAAAATGAATTTAAAAAAATTAGTTTGTTAAAATGAACTGTTGTTCGACATATAGAAATGCTGGCTAATGATATAAAACAAAATTGACTGACTGTATGGTTTTGAGTCATTTTTCATAACATTAGACAAGAGCACTGATTTGCTCAACTGATTAGCTGTATTTATTAGAGTTGTTGATAAAGAGTTCACTGTTACTGAGGAATTGCTTGCTTTACAGCAGCTAAAAGGAACCACTAGAGGAGAGGACATTTTAAATAAAGTTCAAAAGGTATTCACCAGTTTTGGCTTGTCATGGTCAAAATTAGTTAGAGTATGCACAGTCAGTGCATCTTCTATGATAGGCTTATGTAAAAGTTTTACCGGAACTTTGAATGAAAAAGCAACTGAATTAAATGTGCAAAAAAATGATTTGATAATCCTTCATTGCATTATTTATCAACAGAACTTGTGTTTTAAGTCCATTTGACTCCAGATGAATGTGGTAGTAAAAACCATCAATTTTATTGATGGTTTTTACTACCATCATTTCCTGAGGGCTTAACCATAGTCAGTTCAAGATTTTTTTAGATGAAATATAAACCGAATATGACGACATAACATATTGTTGTGAAGTCAGATGGCTAACCAAAGGGATAATGCTGAAACAGTTTAACAAGTTTTAAAACATAACTCAGATAATGGTTTAAATGGTTTAAACCACTATATGAATTGAGTGACCCAAAATGGATATGTGACTTAGCATTTATGGTCAACCTTACAGGCTACTTGAATGATTTAAGTTTGAAACAAGGACAGTTGGTAAATGATTTGTACAGCCATCTGAAAGCATTTCAAAACAAAATCCGCTTGTTGGAGGCACAGATGCTATCTTGTAGCAGTTACCATGTTACTACGCTCCCAATGTGTGAAAATATTGCTTTTGCTAAAGTTACTGTTAATGCAGTATATAATACTAGCTGAGATCAGCCCTGTAAAAATATGGGTCTTTGTATATCTATTCCAAACCGAACTTTTCTATACTTTTTCCTTATATATCCTGGCTTTCCACGGTTAGCACGGATCCTTATAATGCCTACCTAGCTGTCCCAAGAACGCCACTTATACGGAAAGTGAGCGTACACATCAAGGTACCTTGTGATGCAAATTTTCAAATCAATTAACTTAGTCCGTGGAAAATAATTTAACTTGAATGTTCAAATTAAGTTAAATTTTGACTTCATAGTGCGCCAATAAAAACACTTATAGAATTTGAACCACTCAATATAATTTGATAAAAATTGGTGCAAATCTAGCCAATAGTCACAGCAAAACTCTGGTTGATTGGATGACTGGTGTAGGATTTATTGCAGTTTTAGTTAAAGTTTTGTCAGTTTTTTGCTACTTATACCTCAAAGCGTTACCGATTACTTTGAAATTTGGTCACTATTTTTAAAATAACAATTACATGAGTGTTCTACAATGTAATACCAACAATTTTTTTATAATTATTTTATCGGTACATGTAAAGTTTTCATTTTATAGACCAAAATAGTGATTTGCTACTTAAAGCGTGATTTGAATTGGTTTATACCAATGGCGTTGACACGGCCATGTGGGGGGTTCAACACCTCAATTTCTAAAATAAAACCCATAATTTCTAAAATAATTGCCTATATTTCTAAAACAAAAGGTCCTGGCAAAAAAAAGTGGGCAGGTCATGACTCCCTTGATGGCCATGTAGGCATAGCAAGAATATACCAACATTTCCTAAGGTATAAACTACTGCCAGAATGCAAAAAAATTCTAAAAAAATGGTTAAGAAGGATTTTTGGGGATACCTACATAGAAAATAAAAATATTTATTTATCTGAAAACAGAACAACTGTGAAAAGACCAAATATTTTTTATATTGACAAAGATAATTGACTTAAAAAATTTAGATAAGTTAACTAAGATATCTGACCAATACAAAGTTTGGAGGGCCAGTCGGAGGAAAATTACTCTAACTGAATAACTAATTAGGTTGAAGGGTTGTTTTGAAATAAAACAACCCGTAGTACAAGTATCATTAGTTTAATAAGTGTGACAATTATTAATAATGTAATTTCCTTACAAGTAAATAGTTTAAACAATTGTTTCCTGGTACGGAAAGAGCTATTCAAGAATTATTTCCTAATAATTTAATATTACCTCAATTAAATCAAGTAAATATTTTTTATGTTTTAATAGTTTTTAATTAATATGTTACTATGTTAAGTGGATTGTTATCAAATATAAATTTAGGTCAAATTTTGTAAAATGCAGAGTTTGATTTAGTGAAGTCAAATTTAGTGAATTGCCACGTTGCAAAGTCAAGCAAAGAATCATGATGAAAATCGAAAGTTTGTGTGCTTGCTCTGTCTGAAGCTTATAAAATAATTTTAACATATATATTGAAATAAAGTCTTGACTATTAAGAAATAACACTAGATAGATTTCAAGAAGTATATTTTTGACTATTGAAATTTCTAATTTCTTTAAAAACGAATAATTTGAAAGTTTTACACAAACTTACTAAACAAAGTTTATTGTAACTATAAAATATGTATGTTTTGGTTTTAGGTCAAAGTAGTGCGCAGACACCATCAAGTGCTTCAAAATTGACCACTGTAGCCCTTGTAAATGTGCAATTAAATATTAATTTTCTCCACCAAACAACTGCGAAATTTCTACATGAATTTTCTAAGACTAGGTCAACAATTGAGCGATTTCTTCACCCGCAGCGACTTAAAAATCACAGACGAAAAAACAGATTTTTGTACAAGTTATGTTGTTGCTCACTGCAATGATTTATCAAGTCTTGTGAATCATGTTATTTAGTCCCGCAAAATTTCTGGTGGCTATTTTGTTAAGCTCGAAATTGATGGTGGCAAAGGTTTTTCTCAAGTTTTGCCTAAGCATTGTTGATACTGCGTTAAGGGATGAAACCAGCTCACCCCACCAACAACAACCTCTCACTCAAAAGACAGGTAAAGACACTGGAGTCAAGAGACAAATTATTGTTGGGGTTTCAGAAGATTTACCAGAAACACACTCCAATATTGAACAAATCTGGTCACTGATTAATGCAAATGGAATTAAACTAATTTTGGCTTGTGATATCAAAGTTGAAAATATAATTTGTGGTCTTCAAACTCATTCAAGTACGCACCCTTGCACCTGGTGTGATGTCAAATCCAATTGTCTTGCCAAATTTGGAAACTTGCAAAAACAAATTTGGAAACACTGGACTCAATTATTTCAAGCCTTGAGTCTTTTCAGCAATCTGGCGGGGTTGTTGCTAATGCAAAGTTGTTTGACAATATCATTTGAAAGCTAATCATCTGCGGGCCTGTGATTTTGGAAATCATTCCACCGATAGAATTGCATCTTCTCTTAGAAGTTGTCAACCATCTTTTCAAGTTCTATAAAACTGCTTGAATAGAAGCTGTTAAGTGGCCAGCCGTCTTCCACATTCATCTGAGCCCGTA